TAGCAAAAAGAAGGCTAAAGAAGCAGAGCAAAGCAAATACTGATGGAAGCCATGGATCAAACTGGGCATTCCGCTGCCCAGCACACTGAATCTTGTCCTCTACATTTAAGGAATCAATACTCTTGCAGCTAGATGTATCAAACAGACATGCAGATGGAAGTCTTTCCCAGACACATGCTTCCTACATTGCAGTAGCTTGTTGCCTGTGAACAGGGCAGGCCAGACCATTTGTAGAATTCAAACACAAAACAGCCTCATTATCTTCCCACCACTTTCTCTTAATGTGCTCTGTCTGCTTGCTTCCCCTGACTCTCCTTCCCACTACTGATAGCTCCCTACAAATCTTTCTCATAGTCCAGACTTTTAGTTTTCTCTTATGTCCCACCGAGTTGAACCAAAGCTGTCTGTGTGACCATAAATTTCTAACTGTCCACTAGAGCCTGTGAGACCAGCTGTGGATCCACTAACTCATACTACCAGAATTCATCTGAATACATAGAAGACATAGTCAAAATGTACTAATGAAACACACATGCACCACGTGCACACACATGTACACACATGCACTCACTTCTAATCTATAGCTCCAATCCCAACTATTTCCTCATCACTATTGGTTCCTAAGGAAGTCTCATTTTTAGATATTTAAAGTCTATTTGATTTAAATAAAAACTGTAATTTCACAAACATCCCATTTTCTACCCTTCCATCCTAGCTCGGGTTTGACCTGGGGAGCTGTGCTCGGTCTCTTCGATCTCATTTCTGCTTCCTTTCTCATCCCGAAACTGCCACTTTGCCTGGTATTCCCAGACAAAAGAAGAAAGGGGATATATCTACATAGAAGATGTCATCTCTGTCTACGCATTTGACGTCATCTCGTGATCTCTCACTGGTTGTTTTATCTACACGCTTCTTCTTATGTGAAGGTGTGGGCTCTTTGGGGATATAGGGACCCCTAGCGGCGATGATTCCACAAAGCCTAGTCAGTTTCCTTCCATGGTGCCCTTTGCCCCCACTGTGACTGTTCCACCCACCTGCTTGCTAAGCCCTAGAAATATGCAATGTTCTACAAACTACCTTTACCTCTGTCGCTCAGGTAGTTCAGTGTGGGACTGAGAGTTCTTGTATAAATCTCTGAAGCTCAATGTTGCCTCTGGTGGGAGACAGAAGCACTGAGCCCTCTACCAGGGCTGTCTTGCTCCTCTGCTATTTGGTTAAATAGGAAAACGATTTATCCCTATTGGGATCAAGACAGAGTGGGAACTAAGACAGAAAAGTTAAGGCTGACTGCCCTGTTCCTTACAAGCATTTTCTACCTAGTCTCACCTCAGCAGCTGAAGTCACACGGCTCACTGCAACGGAAGAAAAAACGCAGCTCATTATTAATTACAGTCTCTTCAGTTGTACTTTACCTTCTTGCTCCTGAAAAGATGCTATTTCTGTTCTCATGCTTGCATCTTCAGAGAAACATGACTGCTATTGAGAAAATCTGACTTCAGAGAAGACAGAATCAAATCCTATTGTGATAGATACATATTCTGGTTCCTTAGTAAAAATAGCTTACTGGTTCAAAAATGCTAACACTGTATAAGATAAGCCTGATTGTTTTTCTCCATGTATTGTCTATGTATTGACAGTGCATGGCTTTTAAGGGACATTGGGAAACCAGACCAAATAAGAGTTGAATGGAATGCTTTACTGGGGAAAGTTAGAAACCACAAAGTGGTCATACACTGCTGTCTACAAAGGGCCCAGGCTAGGAGGGTTTTAGTTCTTTAGTCTTCCTCTTTCTTAAAGAAAATATATTCTGCTGAAATAGTTGGCAAAACTGAAGAAAATACCATTAAGTGAACATTATGACTTTCTTCAAGCCAATGAGTAATTTAATTATATTATGTAAAAGAAATGGTCCCAGTAGGATTAAAATAAGACAGAAATTATAGCAAGCAACAGACCCCTAAAGCCAAATAAAAATAATTATAAAAAATAAAGTAACAGTACGCATGATGTAGCAGAGAGTATTTTTCGATGAAAAAAAAAATAAATGTCCGTACAGACACATTACTAGGTAAAAAGAAGAATGAAATGGCTGTGTGTGAGGGTCCCAAGTGGGCTTGGGAGGGAGATATTTAGCCCATATACATTTATTTGAAAACATACCATCAATATACAAAGAGACTTTTGCATACTCATTGTTGCTTAAATTCCCTTCTTATAAAATAACAACCCAGTGAATGATGATGGTGGTAATAACAACAGAGATGCTGATATTTGTGTGTGTTTTCTTATGTAATACAAAGATCAAGAGAAATAGGCTACAACATGTCCTCGTTAGCACTATTTGTCAACTTGACACACCTACAGCCATTTGACAGAAGAAACTCATATGAAACACTACCTAGACCAAATTGGGCATTGGTCATCTTTGTGGGGTATTTTCTTGATTATTCATTATAGGAGGGTCCAGTCCAGTACCATCCACTGACTCTGGTCCTGGACTGTATGGGAAAGCTATCTGAGCAACAGACTATGAGTGAGCCAATGAGCAAGCTGGCAAGCAGCACTCCTCCATGGTTTTTGCTTCAGGTCCCTGTCTAGACTTTCCTCAGTGACAGGTTGTGTGACCTGGAAGGGCCCAAGAAACCCTTCTGCCACCCATTCCCTCAAGTTTCTTCTTTCCTTCTTCTATCCTTTCTCCCTCCCTCCCTCCCTCTCTCCCTTTCTTCCTTTTCTTTCTTTCTTCCTTCCTTCCTTCCTTCCTTCCTTTCTTTATTATTATTATTATTATTATTATTTTGGTCAGTGTGTTTGCAACAGCAACAGAAAGAAGACTGGAGCATGATGTTTTCCTAATTTGACAAATGCTAATAAGGAAGCCTTAGGCATCCTTGCCTGTGTTCAGCAAGCTAGTAAATGACACACCCGAACATTAATTCAATTCTAAACTCATGTAACTCAATAAATTTCACATATATGTGCACATCTGTATGTGTGTGTTGCACGTGTGCACACAAATGCACACACACACATACACTAAGTTCTATTTAGCACTACATGAAAAGATTTAGAAATAATGGATGTTACTAGACAAAGAATGCAAAAACTTCCGAATGGCAAATTACACAGTTGCCCTTCTTCCTGACCGTTTGGAGGTTTCTAACGTATTAGTTGTAGGATGGTGAGGTTCAAGACAAGAAACAGCTGCTGCTGTTGTATTCATTTTGTTTTTCTGTTTCAGCATCTCATATTTTCATATTAATTTCTTAATCTATAATCATCTCTCTTGCGACATCTTTGAAATAATAAAAAATTCACACTGTTGTCTTTCAAATTTACACGTTAGTTTGATGAGAGCAGCACATTTCATTAATTAAACATGTAATCTATTTATATCTTTCTCTCTCTCTGGATAATCTAATTAAAACTTGTAAGAAAATTGAAATTGCTCTATAAATATAAATGTGCACCACAGTAAAAATAGACATTTTCTATGCTAGTTTGACCTCCTTATGCCAAGACATTGGACTGAACCAAATTATATATTTGGGGTGTAAAGCTTGCTTTTTGGGTGTATATTCATTGCACAAAGTACTGAGTTTTCTAAGGACTCCTGGATACAAGTACATAGTATGCGTTGACATGATCTCTGGTGCCAGCCTAACCTATTCTATTGGTTATATTATCTTCATGGAAGTGTTTTGATGACCAAAAATACCAAAATATATTCTTTAGGAAAACTGCAAAAAAATTCTTTTTGGTATATGAGGAAGAAGCACTTTTAACATAGAAATACTTCACCTGAGTTTTTTTCTTTTTCTTTTTGAAATTTAGGTTTTTTTTATTAAGAGAAATTTACAGAGGCATAATCTCTCATAATCCCAATATCATAATGTTAAGACAATTTTCCGCTCCAATGTAGCTATCCATTTTCAAAGTTTAGTTGGTCCATTAGAACAATGTCATCTTGGAATATAGTATAGGTACTTAATGGAGGCATAGTGTGTTACTGGGGACTGCTACCTCGGGATACTGGTGTCTTCATCTGAGTTGCCTGAGGAAACAGCTACAAAACTCAGGGCTTGGTTCTAGGCCATTAGGAGGTCCCGCTGAATTTGACATCAAGTGAAGCAGTACAAAGTGGGCAGCGCTCACCTTCCCAGCTCACTGTGAGAGGCATGCTCTGTACACGCTTTCACAGCATTCTTCCTCTTCCGTGAGACTTTAATGGAATAAAGTATGCCATGCATACATAAAATTTAATTCAGCAATCTAGGACTGAGGCAGATATAAAGCTAGATACAACCTTTGAAAGGCATCATCTGAAAATGGTTTGGCTTAAGATTCAATGGTGGCTTGTTAACAAAATTTTAAAAGCACAAGTAGATGCATACTTAAAATGTTTAGGAGAGTTCCTCATCCTGAAAGCAATGAGTTTCTTTGATATGGTCATTCGGCTGTTTTCTTCAATTAGACAAATTTATTCTGGAAGACTAGGAAGAACCCTTGGTTTTTCTAAGCTAGGTAGCAGATGGGTAGATCATGGATACAGTTTTCCAGAGAGCACCAGGCCAAGGAGGGGCTCTGTTTGTCTCTTCAGAGTGTAAAAGTGTAATTTATACAGGTTAGGCGGTGAAGGGCAACAGAGAGCCGCTAAGGAAAAAGATTATAATTGGAGGTAAGAACAATCACCGGGGAGTAGAAAGGTAAGTTAAACTATTCTGAATGTTATGGGGCTTCTTAGAAGAATAGATTAAATGCCCCTACGTCATGAGAACTTAAGTTTAAGGATGGAAGGAAAAAATCATAGATTTCATAAATCTTTGTTATGGAAGCAGTGATAAAAACGACTAAAAGGAAGGAAAAATAATTATTTTAAAGGAAACAAATTCAGCATACTTGGAAAATGCATCACGAAAGTCATGGAGCAGTCACAATTAATTCAGCTTCCTTTCAGAGTGATAAGAAGCTATGAAACAGGAGTTTTGTGCCATGGCTCTTACCTGCCTCATTTGTGCGGATCATTCGAGATGGAATGCTTGGATCACCTGTCCCAATTGGATTGGTGGCCACCACTCGGAATTCATATTCTACCCAGGGATTTAGGTCCACAGCCATCGCTGACTCCATGTCTCCTGTGATGACTTCTGGGACTACGGAGAAGGAACATATTTCATGCTATTAAGAGGCTGGAGAAATGTTACAAATGTATGTTGGCCAATGATGTCACCATTACTAATCCTTTCCTCATTCTGTGCTGTCATTTCTCATAATACATGGCTAACTGTCCTGCTTCCTCATAGTACGTTACTATACTATACATAGTAGGTATAACTACTACGAAAAATGAACTTTCAGGAAGTAAGCACTACATATGCTGAAGTTGTGTGTAGGTCATTAGTATTCCTCTCATTTGGTTATCAAAGAACTTACCATGATCTACACTAAAAATAATTTTCCCATCCTAAGCCCTAGAGAAGAGGCTAAGTCACACAAGAAATGGAGTTCTCTTCAGTTTCTAGGGAGATGTTTTTTATACTCACAAACATATTTTGTTTCCTGTCCACAACAACATATGAATATATCTTTTAGTTAGAAATGACAGCATGTGAGGAGTAGGTATAAACTCTGATCTCTTCTTGGAATAATTTTTATACCATACTTTGATTCTACAAACCATGAAACTTTTTAGGACTATCTTTACAAAACCATGTCCCATTCTCTCTTGATCATTCATTTATCAGACCATACCAGCTCCTCTATCATTGAAACTGCAATAGTCAAGGTTGGCCCTGACCTCCATATGTTTAAAAGCAATGATCAGGTGGCCCCCCGGCTGGCCGGTCCCAGAGAACTGAGTCTAGGCCCCCTTCAATTCCCTAAGACTTTCTGGCCATGCAGCGGGGCGTGTTCCCAGCTACTGGCTTTCTTTACCCCATCCCATCTAGCCCTCCAGGTACTCCTTTTCATCTGCAGGGTCCTTGGATACCCCAACTCAGTTTGCTTCGGGGCTGAGTGGTCTGGGGAGCCAACGGTGAGTGGTCTTGCCACTGGGGCTCCTTTGTACCATCCCACCCCACCCCCAAAGCCCACACTTTTCTCTGTGAGGACCTTGGAGCCCAGCAAGGGTCCCTATTCCTGTGCTGAGGAGACCTGGAATGGTGAGTGAGTGGTCCCATGGCTAGACAGTCCCGGGGAACTGAGTCCAGGTCCCCTTCAATTCCCTAAGCTTTTCAGGCCATCCAGCTGGGCATGTTCCCAGCTGCGGGCTTTCTTTATCCCATTCCACCTTGCCCCCAAGCATTCCTTTTCATCTGCAGGGTCCTTAGATCCACCAGCACAGCCGGTTCAGGGCAGATGGGATCTGAGAGCCAGTTCCAGTACTGAGGGGACCTAAGAGAGGGCAGACCAAGAAAAACTCTCAAGTACACAGTCAGTCACAGCAAAGATTGAACCAAGACGCCAAGACTCTGCTGGCCTCATTTGAAGGAAGAGATGGGCAGTTGCCAATGCAAGAACTTCGTCATCAACCTAAAAAGCAACACAATAACACCAGAATCCAGCGAACACACAACAGGAAGACTTGAACAACCCCACCCAGTAGAAATAGAAGAAATTGACTTTAAATGTAACCTTATGAAAATGTTGGAGACCCTTAAACAGAAAGTGAAAAACTCCCTTAAAGAAATGGAAGAGAATACAAACAAAAAGTTAGAAGAAATTAAAAAAAATCCCTCAAAGATACCCAAGAAAATCAAGAAAAAGCAAACTGGTAAAGGAAAGAGTTCAAGACTTGAAGACTAAAATGGCAGTAATGAAGAAAACACAAACCGAGGATGGCTGAATATGGAAAATCTGGGTAAATGATCAAGAACTCTGGAGACAAATATAACCAACAGAATACAAGAGATAGAAGAAAGAATCTCAGACACTGAAGATACTATAGAGGAAATAGACTCATTGATCAAAGAAAACAGCAAATCCAACAAATTCTTAACACAAAACATCCAGGAAATCTGGGACACTAGGAAAAGACCAAACCAAAGAATAATAGGGGTAGAAGAAGGAGAAGAATTACAGCTCAAAGGTACAGAAAATATATTCAACAAAATTATAAAAGAAAACTTTCCCAACCTAAAGAAGGATATTCCAATGAAGGTACAAGAAGCTTAAAGAACACCAAATACACTGAATCAAAAAATAAAAATAAAAACCATCAACTCGCCATATAATAATCAAAACACAAAACATACAGAATAAAGAAACAATATTAAGAGCTGCAAAGGAAAAAGGCCAAGTAACATATAAAGGTAAACCTGTCAGAATTGCACCGAAATTCTCAATGGAAACCATGAAACCAGTAGATCTTGGATAGATGTGCTGCAGGCACTAAGAGATCATGGATGCAAGCCCAGACTACTATACCCAACAAAGCTTTCTTTCACCATCGATGGAGAAAACAAGATATTCCAGGACAAAAACAGATTTAAACAATATGTATCCACAAACTCAGTCCTACAGAAAGTACTAGAAAGAAGCCAACGGCACCCACAATAGCACAGACATCTGACAACCCTCCACCAACAGGGGAAAACACAAACACTACCACCAAAAAAAAAAAAAAAAACAACTGGAGTTAACAACCACTGGTCACTAATATCACTTAATATCAATGGACTCAATCCACCTATAAAAGGGCATAGGTTAAGAGAATGGATACAAAAACAGGATCCAACATTCTGCTGTTTACAAGAAACACACCTAAACCTCAAAGACAGACATCTACTCAGAATAAAGGATTGGGAAAAGGTTATCCAATCAAGCGGACCTAAGAAACAAGTGGGTGTGGCTATCTTAATATCTAACAAAATTGATTTCAAACTAAAATCAATCAGAAGAGATGAAGAAGGACACTTTATACTCATAACAGGAACAAATTATCAAGATGAAGTCTCAATCCGGAATATCTATCTTTCAATATAAATGAACCCACATATGTACAGGAAACATTACTAGAACTCAAATCACACATCAAACTCCACACACTAATAGTTGGTGATATCAATATCCTCTCTCACCAATGGATAAGTCAACCAGATAGAAACTTAACAGAGAAATAACAGATGTAACAAATTGAATGGACCTAAAAGATATCTATAGAACATTCCACCCAAACAGGAAAGAATATACCTTCTCAGCATCTCATGGAACCTTCTCAAAAATTGATCACATACTTGGTAACAAAGCAAACATCCACAGATACAAAAAAAAATGGAGTAACCACCTGTGTCTTATTGGATCACCATGGAGTAAAGCTAGAATTTAACAATAATACCACCCCCCAGAAAGTCTACAAACTCATAAAAACTGAATAGTCAACTACTGAACCACCTCTGGGTCAAAGAAGAAATAAAGAAAGAAATTGAAGTCTTCCTTGAATTCAATGAAAATGAGAACGCAACATATCCAAACCTATGGGACACTATGAAAGCATTACTAAAAGGAAAGTTCATAGCACTAAGGTGGCCTCATAAAGAAAATGGAGAAAGCTCACATTAGAGATTTAACAGCACACCTGAAATCTGTAGGAAAAAAAAAAGCAAACTCACCCAGGAGTAGTAGAAGACTGGTAATAATCAAACTTAGGGTGGAAATCAATAAAATAGAAACACAGAAATCAATCCAAAGAATCAATGAAACAAAGATCTGGTTCTTTGAGAAAATCAACAAGATTGACAAACCCCTACCCAAACTAATCAAAAGGAGGAGAGAGAACCCTCAAATAAACAAGATCAGGAATGAAAGAGTGCACATATCTACAGACACTGAGGAAATTCAGAGAATCATTAGGTCTTACTACAAAAGCCTATATGCCACAAAATTGGAAAATGTAAAAGAAATGAACTTTTTAAAAGATAAATACCATATACTAAAATTAAATCAAGACCAGATGAACAATTTAAATAGACCTAAAAGTTGTGAGGAAATAGAACTGTCATCAAAAACCAACCAACCAGAAAAAAGTCCAGGACTAGAAGGTTTTAGTGCAGAATTCTACCAGAACTTCCAAGGAGAGCTAATACCTATACTCTTAATGTGTTCCACATAATAGAAACAGAAGAGACATTACCAAAGTCTTTTTATGAAGCTACAGTTACCCTGATACCAAAACCACACAAAGACTCAACCAAGAAAGAGAATTACAGACCAACCTCACTCATGAATATCGATGCAAAAATTCTCAGTAAAATTCTGGCAAACCGAATCCAAGAACATATCAAAAAATCACTCATTATGATCAAGTTGGCTTCATCCCAGAGATGCAGGGCTGGTTCAACATACAAAAACCTATCAATGTAACCCATCATATAAATAAACTGAAAGAAAAAACCATATGATCATTTCATTTGATCAACTATGTTCATAGCAGCATTATTTGTAATAGCAAGAACCTGGAAACAACTTAGGTGCCCCTCAATGGAAGAATACATAAAGAAAGTGTGGCACATCTACACATTAGAGTACTAATGTGGTAAAAAACAATGACATCTTGAATTTTGAATGCAAATGGATGGAAATAGAAAAACACTTTATTGAGTGAGATAACCCAGACCCCAAAATATGAATATGGTATGTACTCACTCATTAGTGAATTCTAACCATAAACAAAAGACATTGAGCCTATAGTTCGCCATCCTTGAGAAGTTAAGTAATAAGGTGAACCCAAAGAAAAATATAGAGAGATCCTCCTGGAAATTGGAAGCAGGCAAGATTGCCAGGCACAAGTTGGGAGCATGGTGGTGGGGGTGGGTTGGGGGGATGAGGAGAGGGAAAGAGAGAAGGGAGAAGGGGAGGGTTGGGGAGAGCTTAGGGAAGTGGAATGGTTGAGAGGGAGGAAAGACAGGTATGAGAGCAGGGAAGAAGATATCTTAATTAAGGGAGCCATTTTGGGGTTGGCAAGAGGCTTGGCTCTAGAGGGGTTCCCAAGTATCTACGGGGATGTCCCCAGATAGGACCCTGGGCAGTGGAGAAGAGGGCGCCCGAACTGACCAATGATATTGGCACTGGGATTTTTCTCTACTGCATGTACTGGCCTTTTGGGATCCTAGTCTGTTTGGTTGCATACTTTCCTAAGCCTGGATGGAGTGGGGAGGTCCTTGGACGTTTCACAGGGCAGGGTACCCTTTCCTCTCTTAGGACTGGAGGGAGAGTGGGGGAGTGAGAGGAAAGTGGGAAGAGAGGAAGTGGAAATTTTAAATGATATTATTTATAAGGTAATAAAAAATAAAAATTAAAAATTAAATTGAATTAAAAAGAAGAGAAGATGAATAAAATCAACGATCAGTATCAATCTTTAGCAGACATATGAGCAACACAAACATACTCAGTTGCTCTTGCTTACTTGGTATCCTCTCTGTTTTCCAGGAGCTAACTGTATTTGACTCTAATTTTTACTTCAGAGGTTATTTCCTCTCTGCCTCCTTTGGCTAGTGCATCTTTGTTATGAGTACTCCATAGTTGGTTTTTCTATTATTCTTCAGTTTATATTTATTTCCTTAGAATTGATATGTTCCATGAGTGTGTGTGTGTGTGTGTGTGTGTGTGTGTGTGAGAGAGAGAGAGAGAGAGAGAGAGAGAGGTGCAAGCGGTGCATATTAGTGTGCCTGTGTATGTACCATACACATATTGCAAACAGAGAAAAATGTCAGGTGACCTTCCTTTATCACTCAAAGCCTTACTTCTTTGAGATGAGGTATTTCAATGAATTGGAAACTCACCATTTGTGAGTGGGGGCACTGAGCAATGAGCCTCCACCTGTCTCCATTTTTCAAAACTGGAGTTATGAGGATTTGCAGCCATGCTCAAATTTTTGTATGTTTGCTGAGCATTTGAACTCAGATCCCCAAGTATATGCAGAAAGTTCTCTTACCCACTGTGCTATCTAACCAGCTTCATGTTTCACTATTTTAATCATAATTTATAAATCAATCAATTTCCAACTTATAACAAAATTGATTAGATAACTCTAAATTTGTTGCCTTTTATAAAGACTTTCAAAAATGTTAGTTAAAGGTATTAATATTCATAAACAAATAAAATAAATTTCAAACAAAGTTGTCATCATTAAAACAGGATTTTGATTTCTCAATATTGAAGATATTAAGGATAATGGACAATTTTAACCAGATAAGAATATTTAAAAAGCATTGCTGGCACTTTTTTATAAAGATATCATTGCTAGAGCCATGGACATAGGTTGCTTTCAAAAAAAATACATGCTTCACAGAGGAAAGGAAAGCAGTGATTAAAGGCAGCCAAGAGGTGCATACTTACTAAGAGGAGAATCCCATTGGAATACGTTTCCTAGTAAAAGCATCACATCCAAGAATTTAATAAAATAATCGACAAGCTTGTCAAATTGAAAAATTTAATCAACCAATCATCTCATGAAAATTATATCCACAGACAGACAATAGAAACCAATGATAAATGCTTAAGAAACATCCTAAAGTTATGCAAGGTTCAGTAATGGTTATGGTTTTTTGATAATCATAAGTAAACATAGGAAAAAGCAAAACAGGTCACCTTAGAATTTTCAGTAGCATAAATGACAGCATATTTCTAAGGCACAATAAATTTGCTTAAATGGAAATAGGACTTGAAGATGAACTTTTTGCCAAAGACTGTTTAATACTTTCTTCCAATTATACACATTATTCTTATTTAACTTTGAACCTCCCCTGCATGAGGGAGAATTTATAAGTCAATTATAAGATGTGAATTTGTAAGTCAATTTAGATATTCTTAGTTAGCAGGCCTATACTCAAATTTTTATTTCAACTAACAGAAAGTAAGGAATTTGTTTTCATTTTGGCACATAAAAGAATGTTAAGGTCTCCTGGGTCCTGGGAAGACCAGCTAGCCCTGTTGCCCTGCTGAGGAGTTCTTCCCAGAGAGATCCTTCATCTGACGAAGGACGGCGATAAAGTCGGAGACCCACATTGGAGCACCGGACTGAGCCCCCCGAGGTCCAAATGAGGAGCAGAAGGAGGAAGAACATGAAAAACGAAATCAGTACTGCGAGGGATGCTATCACCCACTGATACAAGGAAACGGATCTAATGAGAGTTTACCAAGGCCAGTTGGACTGGGACTGAACGAGGACGTGATCTAACCAGATTCTCGGAATTTGGCCGGATTCTCTGAATGTGGCTGGCCCGAAGTCTTTCTGAAAAGCCATTGACTATGATACTGGGACCTGTTTCCTCTGCATATTCTGGATTTTGGGGATCCAATCTGTTTGGATACTCACCTTCCTGGACCTGGAGGGAGGGGGGAGGAACTTGAACTTCCCACAGGGCAGGAAACCCTGACTGCCCTAAGGGACGAAGAGGGAGAAGGGGAGGGAGTGGGGGGAGTGGGAGGGTATTGGGAAGAGGGGCGGAAATGGAAACTTTTATAATTTAATAAAATTTACTTAAAAAAAGAATGTTAAATGTTTTCCAAAAGCTTATAAGTTGCACTCGTTTATCAAAAGTTATAAACTGTGTACTTATCTTTTATCCTAATATATATGCCAGGGTTAGAAGTTGTTTTGACTTTAACTATATTATATTATATTATGAGAGCAATTAAGAAAAAGAACTGATTAGTCAAGTTATTGCACCCATGAGGACATTTTTCCACTGGAGGCATTATAATTATGGCTAGATTATAGACAGGGCTAAAGCCACACTGGTTTGGATCACCTAGGACTCGAGGTCTCCTTCATGGACTTGCCCTAGGATGGCATGCTTGCACTGCTACTGAAACGGATACTGTGCTTTGGACAAAAAAGTCAGATAGATGAGGAATCAGTCTGCTAAATTCTTCACTCTGTGAAGCATAGAAAGAAAGAATACTAATATTGCTATAATTATGAAAAATGTATTTCCTTATAATAAACCATAGCAATAGTTTTTTAAATAGTTACTTCCTGAAGAAAATTAAAACAGAGCTCTAGCTTGAAAGTCTCTAGTTTTCAAATTATTTTAGAAGATAAAAACATAGCTTTCTAGCAGAGCTTTGTCAACAAACACAAACTAACTTTTCTTCCTAATCTCTCCAACCCATGTAGAAACAGATGCATCAAAAACAAATAAATAAAAACAAAAGGATAAGCAGCAATCAAAAAGTTAGTTGAATAAAGAGCAGAAACTCATGGCTATAGTATGTGCACTGTAAGACAAAATAGTCTAGTAAAGCATCGAGCAAATCAGGAAATATGTATGAACTCCTAAGCATCTCTCCAGGAAGGAAATTGAACAGTCTGTGTGACAAACAGCATCAGGAGGATGGGGTGTGTGAGAATACACCAGATACACAATGATTCTTTTTCATAGCTACAAAACAAAATCTTTGAGCACCCACATGAAAGTTCAGATGGAGACCTGGCAAACAGTGGATTAGAATTCTTGAATTAATCCGCTCATGAAGTTTGAATTTGTGGTCTTCCTATGTCAACCAACCCAGATAACTGCTCTTATTCCTTGGGGAGCTACATTTGTTGCACAAGGTTATGGTGGACCCAGGAATGAGGCCAGTGTTTCAAATAGAAATGGGAAGCATCTGGGTACATACAACACAGAGTCCTGCTAACCACAGCGAAGTCTAAGTTCATGCAGCAACTTATTATCAGGTAAGATCTAAAATACGTTCTGTAGGAAAACACATTTTCTTTCTACATAATTGTAATGAGTGAAGCTAAGCTTGTGCCAAAGTGTCATTTACCCAGATACAATAGGCCATTCCATAGTCATAGTATTGCATTTTAGTTTTACTGTTAATGAACTCATACATCATCTTAATGATTTTTACATTACTTATTTGCTGTTGTTGAGATAGGGTTTTGTTATGTCATTCATTTGGCCTCAAGATTCTTATGTAGCCGAAGTTGTATTAAAATGTGTTACAGTCCTTTTACTGATCTCCCATCATGTCTAGCTTGATTTTTATATTTTACTTTTAAGCAGTTGAATTAACTTTAAACTGCAACAGAATCCCTCATCCCCAGTCTGTGCAGACAATTCCTTCAGAAAACTCTCTTCTATTCTTAAAGTGTATTCGAACATGATACTAAACACTTATCTAGTAGCCCTTGGGAAGTGTAACTTTTAATAAATACCTGTGCCACCACTTCCAGTTACATAGGAAAGCTTGGAGAACGTTAGCATTGTGACATTCAAAGGAAATCATTAGTGAAGAAAATATTTTTTAAATAATGAAACTAGGGCAGGAAACATGTTAAACACAGACATTAAAATAGTGCACTGCTTTTAGACACACAGTTCATGTTAGCTTTTCATTTTATAAATAAAACTGACATGGGATTAGAAAGCCACAGTAGAAGCTTCTGGGGTTGTGGCAATTCTGCATCCAAACCCTCCTATGGGGACATACAACCTAATGTGAAGAACCCCCTAGCAACTCTCCTATGGGGACAGGTATCTGTACACCTTAATGTGAAGAACTCCCTAGCGCCGCACCCTGAGAACAACTCTACATCAAACTGATAAATTCCCAGGGAGGCCTGGATCCTACCCAAGAGCATTGCTCGATGTCACATCCCTGGTTTGATAACTGTTGCTGAGTCATGTGCAGTATGATAATTGAAAGAAGCTGGGGAGTGGCTCCACAGGGGCTTTTAGTACAGTGCAATTTTTACGACTTCTTTGTGAATCTGAAAGTTAGTTCATCATACAAACAGAGACTCAATGTGGTCCCTTTTTTGCAAGTTATGAACAGAAGAAGGGAAAAGAGGTTGCTTTTAGAGGGCGCAGGGAAAGAATCCACAGTGGAGATCAAGGTGGTAAAGAATAATAATGCATTTCTGCAGTTGACAAATGATCTTGAGTGAGCTTTACAGCAAGTGCACCTGGTGCCTCCAGATGCTGGTTTTGTGTGTGACACCGTGCCAGGACCTCTTACCTGTTTTCACGGTTTGCCAGCCCAGGGAGAAGGGGCTGCGTGCCTGCAGGTTGTAGGAGGAGATGGGACTGTGGTTGTCAGTTGCAGGACTCCATGAGAGAGTGGCTGTGCTTTCTGTGATTTCCTCCACGATGACCACCCCAGGTGGACCTGGGGGACCTATAGGAAAAGCAGTGGATACATCTAAGCACCGATCGTTATAATCAGTCACAAGATATTGTATTCCCAATGTGGTTCTCATCAAATGATGGGATCATCTTAATGAAATACATACTCAGTAATGAAAATAGACAGCAGAAACTGATGGGATACAAGTTATTTTCTAGAATTTCTGTGGGGAACTTAATTATGTATTATATTTTTTCTGACATTTTGTGCCTGGAGGCAACTTTCAATTAGCATTATATTTTATAGGAAAAGGAAAAATAATCAGAAGCAGACACAAAGCTATGAATGTCAATATGAACTGTGGCTGCTAAAATCAATCACAGATAACAGGCAGAGGCAGAAACAGGCAGGCAATAATACTTCAGGAACAGACACAGTGCCATTTATACCAAAGGGCTCTTGGTGGGTGGAGATATATTACAGTTCAGAAACCTTCAGTATGCAAATCATGTAATGTGCTATCTTGAGCAACTCAGATTCTGGTCAAGAGGATGCAGAGTATTCTGAAATAGCAGTGCTGTAGGGAAGGAAGGTAAGGACATCCGCCTAGAGTGACTTATAGGTAATGCTCTGTGGAAATTCAAAGGAGACTCTTATTAAGTTGTTTTAGAATTGGTGATGCAGTGGAATAGCAGTGATTCACAGAAGAAGAATTTTCTCTTTGTCTTTAAGGGATAGTATAAAGCAGAGACAACTGGTCCACCTCCATGTAGCTTTTGTTTTGAAGAAATAGTCAGAATATGATTTGAGGAGAAATGTCCCATTTGTTAATTATGGCTAAAATATCAATTTTAAGGGGATTAAAATATATATATATATCTATTTAAAATTTAGTGATTAGAAGAAATAACAGTTTTCATGTTGTCATATTCATATTCCATAGTGTAAATTATGCAAGTTGTAGATTGCTTCTATATGAAGACTATACACAGGAGATATTTTAAATGACTAATCAATGGATTGATATGTAAATGGCATATTACTTGCTGGATTTGATGATCATGATGTCTAAGAAATAAAGAAAGGAGTGGTGAGCTGGAACATTTTAAAACCTTGACGAGCAAATGATACTTTTAGGAGACAGGAGATGAGTATTTTTTTTTCACTGAACAGGTCACCAAATAGTAATGTTTGGAAGTTACAGACTGTTCTAACATCAATGTGATAGAATTGGGATTTTGAACAAAGGAGGCAAAGGAAAGCCTTGAGAAGTGGCAATTTTTCCTCTAAGTGAAGTGGTGGAAGAAACAGTAAAACACAGAATGGCTTTGAAATAACAAGGGGAGATGGCACAAGAGCTCCTTCTAGAAGGCAATTATTGTTTTCTTTATGGAAGAATCTAAGTCCTCCAAAGGGTGGCTGGGTGTGTGTGAAAGTGAGCTTATGGGAGGAAGGTCATCAAGGAAGGCTTTGAGTAGAAATGTAATAAAAGAATGTGAGAGAGAATACAGAAAACACAACAATGGTTTTCCTCCAGGTTTAGTTGGATTGAATCATTCTAAAAGAGAAACTTAACAAATAAGCATGCTTTGAATATCCAGAACAAGGCCTAGGAAAGAAGTCAGAAGTATGGGTGCAAGGTGAGAGCTCTGGATATGTGTTACTACTCATCACCAAAAACGTGCAGAATGTGAGCAACTGTGTGGTTCAGGTGAAGTCAGGAAGGTGCTAATGGCTTAGAAAAACAGAGGAGTTAAGAACATGGACTACTACAGGAAGACGACTCAGGAGTGGGATCTGTACTGTGAGGGGCAACTGACAGCATTTGTGACTTATTTTTGTGAAGGTGAGATAGTTTTGAGTGAAAAATTGGTGTGCAGGGGTAAAGTGAAGAATATAATTATTAGCGTGGATAATTCTAGGACTGTGCCAGAGTCTGCTAATGTAGCAGAAATATCTATGCTTAAGTCAGCAAAGGTAGGTAAGGACTTGGTAAGGAAAAGAAAGGAGAGGGATGCAGATGTGGAAGAATGCATCTGAGAAGATATTGGACTATAGAGACAGGAGCACAGGGAACCATCTGTAAGAACAAAATAATTATGTAAATAACTTGATTTCTATGTGAATACTGCAATGACGCCAGTAGCTACCATACTCTCACCACCTTATATTATATGAAGAGGACATACTATATGTTTCCTAGACATTAATTATTAGTTTACTATTTCACAGAGGGGATGTAGAAACCTGAAAGAGACTATTCATTTGATAATTATTCAGACCATATGTTTGGTTTTATTATAGGACAGGGAATCTGAGCATCCATAATAATGAAAGAAATTACTTGCCATAGTCACAGTACTAATAAATAGCCCAGCTGAGATTTAAATATGGATTTGAGGGCAAAATCTGATTTTTGAAAGTAGCAAGGACTACTCAAACCTTTCTTTAACTATTAATATGGAAAACAGTTTCCAATGAAGGAAGGAAAGAGAAAGTGTGTGTTAAAGAAAAGTGCAGGTGAAGTATGCAGTAAAGACAGGTGCCAACTGAACCACTGGTGAAGTCCATGTGGAGAGGGGCACCATTCCCTTCCCTTCCTCGCAATACAATTCGTTCCTTCACTGAGAAGCAGAATCTATGTCTTTCCTTCTTTGAACCTGAGTTGTCCCATGGCCTTTGGACTCTATCAATGAGAGTAAAAGTGTCTAACACTCTTTGACTTTTGAGATGAGGTCATTAAAAGCTTTTGATATTCATCAACCCTTCTTCAGTGCTGGTTAGGGCTTAAGTTAGGGGACAGTTTTCAAGTCAAACTATATTGAGGGTACCATTATGCCAGGAATTCCAAAGACATTTTGACAGAGGCATGAGGAGAAAGAAACATTTAGTTTGTTCTCAGCTCACCCATGTGCCCCAATCCCGGGGTCAGACACAGTAGACAGCCTTCAAAGACCTCCAGCTTCCCTTGGTGTGTGTGTGAGGAAACCTTAGGATGACTCGGCTGTGCCGACTATCTGCTCAAGTCCTTGGAGAGCGTGATTTGCGTATCTTCAAACAGACTAAATTTAAGGACAACAATGGCTAATAGCAACAGGTTTCAAAATTGTTTATTGTTGTGGGCTTGTTTAAAGGAACTTTGGGGTAGGGGCCCTCAAATATTTTTCAAAAAGTTGAGAAGTTTTGGTGATGTGTTTATATAAGAAATCATGGTCAAATTTATTTTTTTATCTATTCCATAGTAAACCATTTATTCTGCTGTATTTTTAGCATTCTATTTATTTGTCTCTTCAAGTGATATTTGCAACTGCTTACTTGCATGACCAAGGTCATATGGGGAAAGGAGTTTCTGTTAAATAAGTGATTTTCCCTTCTGAGTACTAAAATTGTAGGAAGATGTTTAGTATATCTTAAGACTATAACTAATAATTACCCAATATTTTCTAATGCTTCAACTGGAAAAATAATTTATTCTCCAAAATATATACCATGATAAATCTTCATAAGCTTTCAAGAACTTTTCTCTATTTGCATTTATTTACCAAAAATACGTTTTGTAGCAAAACAGTCAGTAGCAGAGATTTATGAACCCAGTGTAATGTCTAAGCTGTCTAGTCATTCATAATTACAAACCATTATAAACAAATGACTGTTTGATAATCATGAAATATTCAAGTTATAACTCCTTGTGATAAAATGTTAGACAGCCATTATTAATCTATTACTAAAATCTATTTAACAACACAGTCTTCATGGAGCTAAGTAAAGTACATTGAAAAATTATATGTAACTACAAATGAATTAATAGTAATTTGTCAAATATGTAGAAGAAAATACCAGAAAGAAATGAATTGACTTATCACTTGTAGGTGGGAAATCACCTTATTTAAGATTTCTTCTTTATGCATATTTCTATTTTTAAAAGGACTTATTTTTGTTTTATGCATATAAGTGTTCACCTACATGTATGTATGTGCACTGTTGAGTGATCAGAGAAGGCATTGGATTCTTAGAAACTGGAATCACAAATGGTTGTTAACCAACATGTAGGTGCTGGGAACTGAACCTGGTCCTCTGGAAGAACAGGCAGTGCCCTAAGCACTAAGCCAGCTTTTCCCTTCTTTTCAGTCCTCAGTATAAGTGAGTGATACTTCTCAAATGATTTTCAGGTTACTCCTTAGAACAGTGGTCCTCAACCTCTCTGAGGTCACCTAACACTATCAGAAAACACAGAAATTTATACTGTGGTTCATAACAGTAGTAAAATTACAAAAATAATTATATGGTTGGGGTTCACCACAGCGTCATGAACTGTATTAAAGAATGGCAGGGTTAGGAAGATGTTGAAGATAGTGAGAGTTACTACTCTAGAGGAAGTTACGTATATGTTGCTGTAAGAATAACCTGCTTAACAAGGAAGCATCCACTGAGTGCCAGTGTATTTGCTGGGTGCGACAAGATTAGTGATCAGCACTCAGTGTGTTAAAATGAGGTGGCAGAGGTAAACTTTTCTCACAGACATACCGGCAGCAACCACCACTTCCAAGTGTGTCAGGAATGCAAACGATAAGAGTTACTTCATTGGCTGCAATCGTTTTTCTGAAATTTATACTCATATGAACAGCCAGATTGGTACTGGACATCTATTAGGCCCTCAGCAAATGTTTGTGACAGAGAAGATGAAAGGCAGACAAATGGAAGGACTGTAAAGTAATGGAAGGTTGGAGGAAGCTGTGTTCTGAGTTTGCAATGCTGCCTAATGAAATAAACAAATGTTTTAAAACCTTATCAGTATGTTTTACAGGGAACGGATGTGATGTTTTCTTTTTAAAAGCATATTTGCATTAATGACTTTTAGTCAGGGTTAAAATGGCAAGAGAAAGACAGAAGAGCTACCAAATGGGGGGAAAAGTGATTTCACAGGAAGCCATATTAGAAACTTGGAGCATTGTAACCTATGGCAAATAATTTTTCTAAATCCTTATAAATATGAAAGATTTCTTATGAATATATTACTGCAATGCTACCCTAAATATCTGGTGGTGTGATTT